ACTTATTTATTTTGCAACTGGAAGTTTGTGCCTTTTGACCCCCTTCACCCATTTCACCTAACTCCCATGCCCTGCCTCTGGTAACCACCAATCTGTTCTCTGTGAACTTGGATGTTGTGGCTGTTTTTAGATTTCCATATGTAAATGAGATCATACAGTACTTGTCTTTCTCTGTCTGACTTATTTCACTTAGCATAATGCCCTCAAGGTCTATCCATGTTATTGCAGATGGCAGGATTTCCTTCTTTTTTTATGACTGAATAATATTTCAGTGTGTGTGTATGTGTGTGTGTCTGTGTGCGTGTGCACATGCCTGTAAGATTTTTTTCATTCATTCATCTGTTGACGTACACATGGGCTGTTTGCATATCTTGGATATTGTAAATAATGCTGCAGTGAACATGGGGGTGCCTCTCTTTTCGAATTAGTGTGTTTTCATTTTCTTTGGATAAATACCCAAAAGTGGAATTGCCGGGCCATACGATAGTAAATAATATGTTTAAGTTTTTGAAGTTCCACCATACTGTTTTCCACAGTGGCCGCACCGATTTACATTCCTACTAACAGGGCACAAGGGTTCCCTTTCTTCCACCTCCTCTCTAACACTTGTTTTTCTTGTGTTTTTGATACTGGCCTATCTAAGAGGTATGAACTGATATCTCATTGCGGTTTTGATTTGCATTTCCCTGATGATTAATGATGTTGAACATCTTTTCATGTACCTATATGTATATCTGTATGCCTTATTTGAAAAAAAAAAAAAGTCTTTTCAGAACTTCACCCCATTTTTAAATTTTTAGACCTGTCCCTGTTTCCCAGAAGTGTATGGCTATTTAACCTACAACCCAAAGCACTCTTGAAATTGATCTTGTTAACATTAAAAAGTATCCCATTTCTTTCTCAATATATTAAGTTAAAAAAAACATTAAAAAAACTACTGGATTTAGTTCATCACAGGAAAAGCATCTTTACTAAACAACAAAAAACAATTTGTTAGGGATCTGACCAAATATACAAAGTGGCAGATAAGATTCCTATTAGAAAAAGATGATTCCTAAAAGAATAAAAATAGATAACTCCCCAAAGTATATGTATTTCACATGAGTGTGAAAAACTCTTCTTCTCTCTCCTCTCCCCTCCCTCCTACACACTTGACACTACATTTTCATTCCTTTAGGGGGAAAAATAAATGCAGAAAAGCTATGAACTCTTATTAATTCAGATTCTACTAGTGTGTGGTTTATACTTAGGTAAGTGCTAAAGTTCTTTTTTTATACTTCGCAAATCCCTTTGTCACAGATACGGAACCAAATTTGGGCAAGACTAATTCAGTAAGACTTTTGGGAAGAGAAATAGCTATTTCAGTATTCACTTGGATTCTTACATTAGTGATAGAGACTGACAAAGGTGAAGGAAAAGCTTTAACAAGTGAGATGTAAGAGCCCACAGCAGTCGGCATGGGCTGAGCAGTAGCTTTGTGGGAGCATGTTGAAGTTGGTGGGGGCTGGGGCAGAGGGCATGCGGTGATACTGGGTGTGGATACTGGATACTCCCACTGGAGTGGGAGATGCAGGAGCCCTTGCATCTTTGTTCTGTCCCTTCTGCCTTTGCCCAGGCTCAAGCGCGCATCACCTCACCTGGGCTATTGCCAGTAGCCTGTGTTGTTACTCCTGAGTCTGTTTATGCTTGTTCTTTCTCCCCTGTATATCCCTTCAGATGCTACCAGAATAAACTTCTCTAACGTGGTAAACAGACTTTTCATGCGTTGGCAGTATTTGCTTTTGAATCCCCTATATTTAGTACACAACAGGTAGTTAAAGAAGTATGTTGAATTTGAAGGAATTTTGGAAGTGATAGGCATTTAATGGGAAGTATCTGTGGTCCTGTTTCCAAAGGGAACAGAAAAAAAATCTTAAAGTAAAAGAAGAGTTTGGTCTTTTAAAAAACAATCACCCTAATAGTCCCGATTTTTAAAAATAAGGAATAAGTCAGAAATTCTAAATAAGAAGGTCAGGATTAATATCTTACGAAGTTTTGTTTGTTGTTAAATACAGTTTAAGTGAGTGGTGACCTGAAATGCAAGCAGCAAAAATGAACCGCTCTTGCATTCTAACAAAGAAATGCCTTATTTGAAAGGAAAGATTTGATGCTATGCTGAGTCCTGTGACAAGTGCTCTAACCAAGAGCCATGTGATGTTTAAGGCTATTTTTACTCAGAAGCTACAACTGGAAGATTTTTCATTCTTTATTGTGTCTGGTAATATTATTGCTGTCAAAATAAAGGTCTGACAAATCAGAGGCCTCTTAGTTTTTCCCAGGAATTTACTCCTGAGAGACAAAAAGGACTATGAATCTAGTCCTGACTTGTAATTCTCGCATAATATATGGTTGAACGTCGTTCCATTTACCTTGGTCAAGTCAATTTGCCTCTCAGAACATTGATTTCTCTTGGTCTATGCTAGTCCGTATTTAGTTAAAAAGTAAACAAAACTTAATAGAATAGTACTTATTAGAACAGTAAACTTAGAACAGGAGAACTGACTGGAATAGTAAAGCAAGCTATTTGTCATGCAGGGTTTTGGTTTTGTCCTTCTGCCTTTTGTCTCACTTTCTTTGACCAGTTGCGAAGTTGTTATATCACGATATCACAAGCTGTTTCCCACAACTGATGCATTTGCCATCTCCTTTTTGTGGTACATTTTAATGAAAAGTATTAAAAATAGGATGGAGAGATTATTTAATTCCTTTGAGGCCTCTTTTCTTGATTTCTTTATGGTCACTTCTCTTTGGGCTAGTGTGCTGTGTTTATTTTAGTGGTGGTTTTACAGGTGGCAGTTTAAACTGTTAGAGCAAAGTGGACTCCTGAATGATAAAGTGTAATTTTTCTTCCTTTTGTTGAACGGATTTCCCTTTGGTATGTTAAATATATGTATGGCTTCAATGGTCACTATGGGCAGTTTTGTTAAAGCACTTCAGATAGGTTAAAAATTGTTGCCTTTTGTAGCTTTAAAATATGAGCTAACATCATGTCCACTTATTTCATGTATTTGTACTACTATATGTAATGTACAGCTAAGATTCTCTTGATATTTATAAGGGGAGAAGTGACTTCTTGCAAGGGCTGGTGATTAAGGGAAGACTTAATTAGAGAAAGGGAATTTGAGTTAGGTCTTGAAGGAGGAAAACAATCTGGTCATTTAGAGATGGCAAGAAAAACTATGTCCCGTGGGGAAAAGAGATTGAGCAAAGGCAAAGGCATGTATATATAGTTAACTTAATTTCCAGTATATATTTGAGAGAACCTTTTCAAGGTATTCATGTGCTGTATCCCTCCTTCAGTTAGAGAAGTAATAGTATAGTATATTTGAAAAGAGTTGAACAAGAGAAAAAGAGTAATTTGGGGAAGATAGATTGGGACTGGTTTGGGATTGGGACTTCTAGCTCAAGGAGTTTAGACTTTATTCTGTAGGCAGTGCGAAACTACAGAAAGCAACATAATTTTTGGTTTAGGAACAAAATGGGAAAATGAGGCTGGGCATTGGTTAACCATTTCAGAAGATTTTTAAATTTCAGGGAAAAGATTGAAGACACACATATTAGGGTACCTTACTACCAATAAAGGTGGAGGGGCGAGGAGAGATGTAAAGCATAGTAGAGGTAGACTAGAAAAGCTCTGATTTTTTATTTGTTGTATCAGGTTGGTAGAGTATATCATTCATTTGAGCCTGGTTTCTCACCTAATTATGTTAGGTGGCTGATTTAATTCTTAAATCCCTTCAACCTTTGAAATTCTATATTCTTTGGTCCTTGAATTTTTGTAAAGGTACTAGCTTAGAGAAATAATGAAAAACATTTAAAATTTAAAGGAAATATTTCCTACTGTGGACTAAGTACTTCTCTATGCACTTTAAGCTCTTTTACTATGTTAAAGAAAGGAAAACATCTTTTTGGATTATTCACTTTTTTCTTTCATTGCATATTAACAATAAATTTATAGCTTTAAAGTGCTGAAGAAACCGATTAATGGAGAGAAAACTTTTAAGAGCTCAAAAAAAGTATAAAACATGAAAAATGTTTTAAAAAAGTGTAAAAGGTATAAACAGATACCAATATAGGATATTTCCCAATTCATTTTGTGAAGCCAGCATTACCCTAATACCAAAGCCGGGTGAAGATAATACAAGACAACTGCAGGCCTGTATTGCTCACCCAAAACACTAGAAACCTGAATTTAGCAACATTTTCTTCATCAGAACATTTTTGTTGTTCTCAGTGACTGCCATTTTAATAAGAAAATGTAAATTTGGTTTGTTGCAGTAAATATGTACTAATTATTGTTTTTACTGCTTCATATATTGGGGTTCTGTATAACACTCCATTTAGGTTTTATGCTGCTGGGATTCTGGAAATTTTTCTTAACACATTAAGTATCCTGTTCCATTTTGACTTCACTCTCATTCTCCGAGGATGTTCTGAAAGCCTTTTTTCCCCTTAGAAATCCAATAGTGAAGGGGAGGCTTCCAGCTGAAAAAGTATTTACTGACTTTAAATAGATCATATCTGTCTCGGAGATTGTACTGCACAGATGCTGTTGGCTGGATCATAAGGCTCTTTGTTTTTATGCCTAATATAAATATTCTAGTTACTGCTTCACAAGTGGTATACGGCAAGTGGTACGGATTTTATTTTAATTTCTTTTTGCATGTGCAGCAACTGAGTTGCACGTGTGGGACTTTATCAAAACGGTGAAAGATGGCATGTGTCATTAGATGCCTCCTTCTGTACTAAAACCTTTACCCTCATGTAAGCTAAGTGGAAGGGACCACTGCAAAGTTATGAGAAGTTATGAGAAGAATGTGTTGCTGGGTGGCTGAGGGGCAGGAGACAGTGAAAGAATCAAACAAGGACTATTGAGTACCTGATATGTGTGGATATTTATTAATCTACATTGGAACCTGTTGTTCAAAACAAGTTATGTGTCCATTCTGTTCTATCCGTAGGTGATCATGGAGGAAGCACTTTACTGCCACCGAATGTCACAAATGAATTTCCAGAATATGGGACCATGGAGGAGAGTGGAGAAGGCCTAAGAACTTCTCTTGGGTTTGATACAGAGTCTCTGCCGGGCGGCCCACAGGGGCAGCAGGGGGCCCAGCTTTTCGACGGCCACCACTCTGGGCCTGACAGTGTTACAGAGGGACCAAAAGATGTCAGAGAGTCCCTCTCTCAAAGTCACCTCAAGGAACAAAGTTTACAACCCATTGACTCTTTGATTTCAACTCTGGAAGCCACGGAAGCCAGAATAGCTTCAGGAATATTACAGGCTACAAAGGTACTGGACAAAGATGCTGTTTCTAGTTTTTCAGTTCAGCAGGTGGAGAGGGAGCTGGACACTGCCCTTCATAAAACAAAGAGACACAGAGCCAACAAATTATTTCCTTCTGGCCAAGGAAAAGGACCAGATATACCTCTTTCAGCTAAAGTTACAACTGAGGAGAATTCTTACTTGAGCATCCAGAAGGATCTGACTGTACTGTTAACTGGAGAGGCTCAGGCAGAGCTTTCTGAGATAACTGATAGTGGTAGCAAAGGGGCTCTTCGTGTGCAGGAGCCTGCTCGTCCGGTCTCCTCCCTGGGGAGCCCAGCAGCGACCCATACCTCTGCGGGCAGTGTTGGTTTTTTGAGGGAGAGAAGGTCTGATCAAGGTAGCTCCACAGGACGCCCCGGCCGGGTCAAACACGTGGAGTTTCAAGGGGTGGAAATACTGTGGACAGGAAGGGAGAAAGGAGAGACACAGCACCCTGTGGATTTTGAGATCCCGTCGGAAAGGCCGACCTCTCCTGAAAGCAGAGAGTTTTCCAACATGCCAAGCCATCTCCTCTCATCTGCCGGTTTGTATAATTCAGTTGGTTTGACGGAGAGTGTTTGGGATGGAACCTGGAGCGCTTCATCAGAGAAGCCGGACGCTAGCTCAGGGACGTTTTCCCCTCTGCCTCTTGTCGACAGTGCAGAGGATGAGGTCTTCCTAAAGGAAAACAGAGAACATCCTGAGAAGAAACCTGACCTGGAGACAGACAAGGGAAGGTGAGCTCCCATAGTCATCCTGCTGTCTCTGATGCCTGGTACACGTTATAGGAGACCGTCGTCCCATGCTTGGCTGTGAGAACTCAACACAGTATCCTGGGGCCTTGTTATCATAGAATGTAAGAGAAGTTACCGTGAGCTGGATTCCTTCTAAGTCCCAAAGATACTAAAGTGATTTTGTTATAAAGCTGTCCGTCAGGCATAGACTACGGAGGGAGAGTTATGGAGAAACTGCAAACCCATCCATTTCTGACAATTTTTTTATATTTGACAGGTTTCAAGTTTTCCAGCATCAAGATAGCTATATACACAATACCCCGCAGTTATCTTTAATTATATGAAAAGATTTGGACTCTTGACATATCCTACAGTCACTGTATCTTATCTTAGGCACTTCTTCTGGATGCAACACCAGTACCTGCACACAAGCTGCAGACATGTGTGAATGCAGAGGTTTTGGGTGCGGGCTGCCTCAGTTTCCTAGGTTTAGTAAGGAGGTCAGGAGGTCAGAAGTAGACTTTATAATTCAGTTGTTCTTGGCATTGACATGAGAATCCCTTCTCCCAAGTAGCACATGTTTGGATTTGGGGCCTGATAAGTCAACTTACATATATGGTATTTCCTGATCTTTCCACACATTTCTGACATCTGCACCAGCTTAGAGCCTGGATAAATGGAAGACAGGACCCAGCTCTCTTCACCTCTCTTGATTGCAGTGCTCCTTCTGGCAGAGTGATTTGTTGTATGCTCTCATTTCCAATTTGTACCATCTTTTCTCCCATCAGTCCTCAGAACACCACATTTTACAGTATATGTGGGAGAACATCTATGTCAAGGCTGTCGGGCTTTTGTGTTTGTTTGGTGTAAGGAAAATACCTTTTCCTCTGCAGTTAATTAACAAATCCATCTAGAGTGACGTTCCTTTAGGATGGTTATCAGGACTCCTCCTCTCTACTCCTTCCCCCCCCACCCCCCTAACACATAAAATCTCTAGACTTCCCTCACAAGCAGCCTTGATATGTGGCACATGGCTCAGTAATTATATTTCTGCTGGAATATGCACTTTTGCATATTAATTCATTCGTCCTTTCCTCTCTTTCTCTTTCCACAAATAGTGTTTGATTATCTATGATGTTTTTGACCCTGCTAGATGCTGGACATAAAAGAATGTTCAAAATAGATAATGGCCTGTGGTCACTGCCTTCATGGAGTTTACTGCTGAAGATAAACACTGACCATATAAACATATTAATAATTATAGGATCATAAATAGTGGTAGGTTCTGTGAAGTAGAGGAAGAGAGACATACTAGAAAAAATAACTTAAATTCAGTTGATGGCTCTGCGACGGCCTTTCTGTGGAAATGATAAGTAGGCTGAGACTTGAGAAATAACTGTGAGTTAACCAGGCAGAGTACGGGGAGGAAGAATACTCCAGGGAGGGCTGGAACAGCATGTGTCAAGGAGGGCTGCTGGGTTGCCTGACTATGCGTGCTTCCTGGAGTTGTGTGAGACAAAGGCTTTATGGCAAGTTGGACAGCAGTGTCGCTGGACCACAGGGAAGCAGGCCTGGGGTGTGGGGGGTGAGTATGGAGGGGTAGGGAGGAGCTTCCTCATAGGAACTTGCCATTTTATTCCATAAGCAGTGAGAAGCTGTTTAGAGATAAAAACCCAGAATACTGTTTGGTACATGGTAGACCTTTGTAATTTAAAAACAACAGAGACAACTGTATTGTTGATTGTGAGCCCTCATAATACCTAGGAATATGGATACTTAACAAGGTAGTTTTCTTTCTATTTTTATTGTATTCCTGTTTATAGGAATCTGAGGCTCAGAGGTTAAGTAAAGTTTTCTAAAGTGACATAGCTGGTAATTGGCACATCCATCATTCAGCTCCAGGTTTTTCTGACTCTTGTCCTCTTGCTCTTACTGAGTTTTAAAATTTTTATTTAGCTATCCTAATGTTCATTTTTAATATTTGAACAGAATGCTGCATACTAAGTAGTTGGTGCTCTACCCATGTATATTAAATTGTAAGGGGTTTTCACTGTTTTGGTTAGCCTTGGAGTTAACAGGTTTGTTGGCTTAAAAAAAAAAACTTTTTTTTAAAGGTCATAGCTGGCTCTCTTAATTTGGGGCTTGAAATCTCTCTGCAGTGCTGCCTTGTTGTCAGCAGGGGGCGACCCTTGGATTCTAATGTATTCATCCTTTTGAGGGCGTTTGTTCTTGTTTAAATCAGAAAGTATTAATAGACTGTTGAAAGTTTAGTGTATTTTTACTCCGTTAAGTTTACACAATATATTTATGTGTCCGTTAAAATTGAGGATGACAGTAGCTGCTAATAATTGGAATTATTATTTGGAGTTTAGTTGACCAGATAGAGTCACATACTGGGAAACTAGTGTGAAACCATATAAATTATTTAGAGGGTAGTGTAGCACATGTATGCCAAGAGGTTTGTCAACCCGAATATGTTTCCATGGTATCTTCCTTCTGAAATATATTAAAATATAAGCCCAAAGAATATAATTGCTAGCTTTACAGAATATTATCTTTTTTATATGGTTGAAGGGGAAAAAATAAAAAGAATATTAGCCTAACTTTGACATTCTTTATTCTTATTTCCTTTCCAGGATTCTTGAGCAAGAGGAGCACTTTAGGGGAGGAGATGATGATATCCTTGGGCCTGGTTATGCAGAGGACTCCACTGATGTGTACAGCTCCCAGTTTGAAACCATTTTGGACAACACTTCCTTATACTACAGTGCTGAGTCCTTGGAGACATTATATTCAGAACCTGATAGCTATTTTAGCTTTGAAATGCCCCTAACTCCAATGATACAGCAGCGCATTAAGGAAGGCAGTCAGTTCCTGGACAGGACGTCAGTGGCAGGACAGCAAGATGTCCTGAGCGTCTCAGCAGATGGTGGAATAGTGATGGGCTATTCTAGTGGGATCACCAATGGGCTGAATGACACCAGTGACCCCATCTACATGAGAGGCACACCAGAGATTGCTTTCTGGGGAAGGTACTATCTCTAAGTCTCATTAATTTCATGTGGTGGTTTTTGTATCATTTTCTCTTTGGGAGATCTGGGTGTGGAATATATCTAAGCAGCGTTTGGCCAGTTTCTGTGGATATAAGTGAATGATGGGAGTAGAAAGTAATTTGGGTTTTAGGGGCAGGCAGAGTACACCCTAGCAGTTTGCTAAATTGGCAAGCTGTGGTTATTGTATTTGGTGATGTTTCCTGGACTACGATATGTAAATTGGATCCTGAGCGAATAGTCGTGGGTGAGGAGTAGGTGTCAGCTCCCGTGGTGCAGCTTCGGCGGCTGTGATGGTGCTGTGAAAAGAGCACTGAGAGCTGTTGACTTCTGTTTTGGCACTGACATTGGTTGATGACTTGAAGTGGGTTGCTTGACTATGCCAGGAATTCCTTAATTGCAAATTGAGGGTGTTGGGTTAGCTGGGCACCAAAGTCTCTTCCAGGCCTTTGCTCTGTGAGGTCCTCTTCTCTCAGGCATTCTTCCTGTTCCTGAGATGGTGGGGGAAGGATCTGATTATGTGAATGCTTGGTAGAGCCGATACTTGGTCAAGGCTATAAATACTTCCTCTCTCTACTTTAGGATTTAAGTCTATCTGGGGGCTAAGATGACAAATTATATTGTTTATATGTGCCATACCTGTCATTTAGTGACTCCCTGTCTATTTATGGATTATCCAGCATTTCATTTCTTCTTGCTCATCACCCTCAGGTGATTTACCTGTCATTTAGCATCTTTATCAATGCACAGGGAATACTAAACTTCAAACGATTTTGTGAATTTGGTTTTAATATAATTTTCCTGAATTGACGTGTGTCAGTGTGTGTTTGTTGAGAGAGGTGGAGGGGAGGTTAAATGGGGATAAACTATTTTAAAGCTGTATGAAAAAGTGTCAGTGCTTTTTTAGTCAGTATTCATGTTACAGGTTTCCAATGAACCTCTCTTAGTGAGCAGTCCATCTTATGTTGAGCATTTTCTAGACTTCATTGGATGAACACATTCAAGACTGACACGTTATAGAATTGCAGCTGTGGATTTCCATGTGAAATGGACCATGGATGTTGGTTGACTTCTTGGGTAACTAGTGAGATAATTAAAAAAATCTCTAGTCTCAAAAGCAGAAGACCTTGGTCTGAAATACTTGGGCAAGCCACTTATTTTCTCTGATACCCACTCTATTTATTGTCAAAATGGGGTTAATGATAATCCAGTATGCTATGTGGCTATATTAAAGAGTTAATATAGATTTAAGCAACTAGCATAGTGCCTGGTATAAAGTAGGAGCTTGAGTAAAGGTGTTGTGAATCAGAATTGGTTTGGCTGCTAAGTCCACATTTAGACTTCCTGTATCTCTTGAGAGGGGCGGTGTCCCTGAGAAGGAGGGTGTCTCTGGAGGGGATCTTTGAGGGGAAGATGTTTCTGAGGAGGGTGGCCCTCCCCTCAGAGGGGGGACCTTTTTGCTCTACTCTTTTGTCCTTTTTTTTCACCATCATCTCTGATAACTAAGTTGTAATAAAATGCAGTAGTATAGGCATGCAGATAATTTTATTAAAATTTCAGTCCACTTTCTGGGGTGAGTTGAAGTTATTTATATAACAGGCCCAGAAATAGGTTGGGGAGCTGAGATGTTTTGTGGCTGAGAGGCTTTGTTGTAGAAGTTACAAGGCGGGTAAGTAAATAAAAAGAAGAGGTGAACATCAGCGAGTCAGATCAGGAAGGAATTAGGTGAAAGTTTTAATCAAATGTATGGTCTGCTTACTTGGAATAGGAAGTAGTCATCACTGGGGCCAGCATAGGTGCCAGTCATTTTTAGTAGGGCAGAGTTAGATAGTTAAGGAAGAGTATTATGGTAGATTACAGTATTTTAGCATCTCACATTTAGACAGCAGTATACTTCAGTCCATCTCAAGACAAAGCTGTGTTACCTGTACTGTAAAACCATGAGATCTTGGCCAGCAGTAAGACAAACCAAGAAACAGACTGTTAACAGTAGAGAACAATCTGATGGTTACCAGAGGGGAGGTGGGTAGGGGGATGGGTGAGGTAGGGAATAAGGAGTGCAACAGCACTTTCATAGCAACCCCCTTCCCCTGAACACTGTGTTAATACCATGTACATGAATTCAAGAAGGACCACCCTTTTGTCTTTTGGCGCACAATTTATTTAACAATATGATTGATAACAATATTCTTATTAACAATAAGAAATGAGTTGGTACTTTACCATTCTATACAGTGATTGAATCTTCTTGGATTTTCTTATATACAGTAATTATAATGCTTGCATGATTTATACTAGAATTGCTTTTCCTCATTTCAAGTTTCATATAGAAAGAAAAGAATGCTTCTTCTCTATTAACATTAGCATGATCTAAGAGAGTGATTATCCCTGTTTTTGTCTAAAACCAGTTTTATCAGAGAAATAAAGCAACAATTTCCACATCTGTAAGACAAGAGTTTGGCTTAAGCCAGTATGTATAGGTAGATGTGTGTGGGGGTGTGTATGTGTGTGCACACGGGAGCCAGTTCCTATCGTCCAGGGGTTAATACTTGGAGAACGCCCACAGGAGCTCGCTATAGAAAAAATCTTCTATGTCAGAAAGTTGGGATACATTATAAGCTTGCATTATTTCAAGAATCAGTTTCCAAATATTCTTCTTCTTCTCACTTTTAAACATAAATGTTTAAAGTCTTGAAAATACAAATAAAAAATATGAATATAATGAACTTGTTTTTCCTGTTAAAAAAAGCACGAGTCACCAGCAATGACAACAAAAAGAATCCAAACAAAACCCCCTTCCCCCAAAACAAAACAAAACAAAAAGAGAGAGAACAGATATTTAAATCAACTGTTTTTTAACAAAAAATACATATTATTTGTATTATGTGGATGGATGAGATGGGGATTAAGGAGCACACTTACTGTGATGAGCACAAGGTATTGCAATGAAAGTGTTGAACACCCACCTGAAACTAATATTACACTGTAACTTTTTAAAAAATAAGATGGAATTCTAGTACTGAATGAGAAGCATCTTAGAAATGTGCCAACCAAACTTCTCTCCCAGCTCTGGCATTCTTCCTCATGATTCCTGAACTAGTGGTCATTCTACCCTTCCTTGAACCCTGCTGGTGACTTGGATGGATCTCTTTGTGGTCTTTGAGTTGGCATAAGATAGTAAATGGTTATAGGTGGAAGAGGTTTTGTTTTATGATATGTGTCTCTATTCAGGGTTAAAAAAAATAGAGTGAGGTCAGTGATCCTAAGAAATTTTAAAGAAACTGGAATGACTGTTATGTTTTTCTTTACCCTCTCTGCCTTATTGGTGCTTTCAAGATGCAGCATCAGAAGAATTGTAGGTTGAAGAATTATGACATTTTCAGCTCAAAGGGGCCTTAGATAACCTTTCCTATTTTTATGGTAAAGAATCTGAGTCCCAGTTTGGTGGGATGGATTTACTTGGTGAGAGATCCTGTACCAGAATTCAAATAGTCTGACTCTTAGACCAGATACATTCACTGTTCTAGGCTGCCTGGTCTCATATCTTTGTTCTTTTTCTAAATCTAATTTCTCTCATTCATAAGTCTAGAGAATCAGGAGTCTGAGTTGGTAATTGTAGAACTTGGTGGTGGTGGTGGTGGTGGTGTGTGTGTTTAGAAAAAATTTACCAAATTGATAATGAACATGTCTGCATAAATTTTTAAAGTAATCAACGAGCAGGCTTTTAAACATTTCTTCTACATTAAAACATTCTTCTGCAGAGGTAAGGAAGTAGACTCTTGAGTCTCTTAAGGAAATCCAGATTAGAATGCACAGTTGCCAACCTGATTGACTTCCCTCAACCAAGCACTGAGGGTCGAAGTGTTAGGATTCAAGGGAAAAACATTTTTCCAATTTTATTAATAAATGTTGTGACATTTACATAAGGAAAGTGCTAAATAAAACAAGTGCACATGCCTAGTATTTTGTCTCTATTCACCAGCCTTGCTGTTCTGTTGGCAGCGGACTGGGGGGGTTCTGACCATATTAAATAAAGGGAATCTGAAGAAGGCTCAAAGGAAAGGGGATGATATGACTAATGATATGACTAGTGACTAATGATATGACTATCTCCCTGATAATGCTTCTTTAATTCTAGCTAGACCTGAACCAAGAAATTTAAGCCCGTCTCTGTTGACGTATTGATTTTAATGTATAAAATGTTAGGTCTCAGCCAGTAGAAAAGATTGTAAGATTACTTAGGTTGTCTCTAAGCACAATTTTATATCAGAGGCATCCTATGGGTTTTATTTAGTAAATACATGGTGCATACTTCTCATAAGGAGCCAGGAGAAAGAAGCTATTAATGTTCACATTTTCCAGATAAGGAAACTGAGGCATAGCACAATTGAGTAACTTGCTCAAAGTTACACAGGTGGTAAATGGCACACCCAGGATTTGAACCCAGGTAGTCAGGCTCCAGAGTCCATTTATTATTGGTTTCAAAACAAAAATATATTTGGCATTGCCTAGGTATGTTTTAAAATCTTTTTCTACTTCAGTATGTGCCTTTACTTTGTCATTAAAGGTGATTTTAGCAGCAGTATTTGACAGTGATTTCTTTTGAACGCAGGATGACACTGTTCTCTATTGTGTGGCTTCTTTAAAGACAGGTGCAAATGTTTGGGAATGGTGATGAGGATGTTGTATCGCTTCAGCAAAACTTAGTTCTGTCTCTCAGCAACATCTTCCAGTCTTGGATTTAGCCATGCGTTGGTGGCCAGAGGGGGTTGGTGTTCTCCGATACTCTCTCTCTCACCACTTAGAGAAGAAAACATTTCAAATCTGTAATATTCTAGTATCAGGTCGGAAAGGACATTTTCAAAGAGTGTATATGCTCACTGTTTGTCTTTTAAAGGATTATATACCTTTGTGATATCAAATAGATCGTTCTTTATAAGGTGAAAAAAATTCTTAAGACCCTGGACTAAACCTGGATAGGA